TTGTGCATCTATGTAGTCATCCTCTGCTGCTTCCCGAATCTTCTGTGTGCAGTCTTTCAAGGATGGCTGCTGAACATGCACATACCATCTTGTGGCTTTTATTTTTTTCCTCTTCCTTCTACTTTTCTTTAGATCTGTACTTCACTTAGAAGTGTTTTCACACTGACAGGAGTAAACAGAAACTTCTCCATCCTGGCAAATTTCTGTCTTCCAGTTATCACATGTAGCATGACCAGGTATGAATGGAGTTGAGATAGATTGTCACTGAAGAAGCAACGCTACTTAGAACAGTGCCTAATGGATTGATCAAAATTTAAAATAATATTTAAAATAAAAAAGATAGCAATGCTGTATGACCTTTGTGTTTGAGACCGGCGCTGCACATTAAGGTTTGCCACTCCCTTTTGTTTGTATCTCTGGAACAGAGAATGAAAGGTACAAGTGCTGCTGATTCCTCACTCCCCTGGGGTGATACTGCCTTTACCTATATCACATGAATTTCTTTCCAGGTAGCCTGCTTGCACAAGCACTAAAGCATGATAGCAGGCACCATGCCCGTAGCGGAGAGTCTACACTGAAAGAAGGATTATGAGGCATAAGCTGCGTGGAAATGCTTCTTGTCCTCCCCTGCAAATAGAGGAGAGACTCTCACAGGTCTTGTTCTTCTCCAAGTCCATCCTGAGTGATGTGCTTCTTCCCCTGTCTGAAGTCACTCTTGTTTACAACTTATTCTTGAACTGAGGGGTTCTTTTTAAGGGGAGTGGAAAAAATGGAACTGGTTTCTTATTCCAGCGAGGAATCATCTCATTTGCCGTGGTATCTCTCCATCATTTTCCCATCTCTGTCTTTACATCAGAGGATATTCTAGTTAACATGAGCAGAATGTCTCTGCCTCCTTCCACTAATGTCTGCCCACTGATAACCCTTGGGCTGTGAACCCTCAGGACAGGGCATATACACCCTGGAAGATATGGAACACCATAGGCCCCCAGAAGTCTGGAAATAGTTTAACAGTGAGGACCTCGAACAGACTTAAAGCTGGAGTATTGGTGGGACACAAACAGCTTAAAAAAAGTTGGTATACAAGGGACAAGAATTACCAAGAAGGTCCTGCCTATTCTCTATTCTTAAGAGCAAGAATGCAAAAATGCTAAATGCAAGATATAAAATGAAAGAGGATGAAGAAGCATAAAGGGAGAGAGAGGAAAAGTGAGAGAAAGGAGTAGAATAATTTGCATTGGAGGGGAAATTTTCAATGGAGTATTTTAAATAAGAGCAAGTATAAGTTTTATTAAAATTTGTTTTGGGTTCAAACACTCATTTTGCACCATCATAAAAACACTGAATGTGGAGAGACATTTCGGGAATAAGCTGTGCATATACACATAGTGACAGAAGTTTATACTGACAATGCTTCTGTTGTTTGGGTTCCAGAAGAGTTCAAATTCTAATAAACATTCTGCACAATGGTTTAAAAGCCAGTAAATAACTTAGCAGGCTGAATGCACTAGGATAAGCTAAAGCTAAAAGTTCATTCTTTCAAGGCAAGATGCGGAATGACGAGTTTCCTCCAGCAAGGGAAGGCTTGTCTCCTCATAAGCACTCTGGAGCAACAGTGATAAGCTGTGCAGTGGTTTGTGCAAACCAACAGATTCAGTGTTTGTTCAGCAACAAATGACAATTGTGCAAATGAAGCGAGTGTCATCAAAACCACCAAAATCTTTTAGGCAGCATTTGGTCTGAAAGGGTGGAGAGAGGTCATATATGTCAATGTCATCAAGACACGTAAGAGTTCCTGGGATCCCAGCCAGGTTGGAGGCAATTTTTTGATAGTATCTAGAGGCTGAATCTAACTCAGAGGACATTCACTGACAATGAAAACAGCCTTTATGAAAGTCAGGTTGTTTTATTTATACGTATCTAGAGTCACACTGCATCCACAGTAATCTTGCTGTGCTGTGATCCCACCATTCATACTCAAATCAAATCATCAAGGTATGTACAAGGAATTCTGTAATTTCATGTTGTTTTTCAAGTGTTTGCGAGGGCGTTACATACATTTCTTTCATGTAGTCTGCCTTCTATAGAGAAATATTTCTTCACTAGAAATACTTGTTACAGTGACTAAGCCTATGAGAGCACGGAATATTGGGAATGCCAGAAAAAGACCACTAATTGTTAAAAATCAAACTTTTTTTTTAAGAAGTTGCCCATCTTGTGTAGCAGATAACAGAGAAATTTCATTGTAACAGCAAATCAAAGTGGGTACATTAAGATTGTCTAATCAGGCTTAGACAAGAGATGTTGTAATATTGTTGTATTACTGCCAAAACTGTAGCAAGGGTGGGGTAAGAGAGGCACCAATTGAAGAAAAGAAGTCCAAGTCCCCAAAGGAATGACTGCTGCAGGTGTAGAATGATGTGAGAGTGATCAGGAGGCAGCTACAGATGAAAGTAGCATGGCAGGATACAGAGGAGAGGAATCCAGAGGAATGGGAGCTGCCTCAAAATATCCTGCTACCATTCTGCAAGGTGTATAGTATTATGTAACAATAAATTCAACTCTTTAATGTGCAAATGAAAAGCCTACATCAGTAAGCTGCTCCAGCATAGACCAGGCTGGGTATTTTAATGTGGACAACTGTAAAAGCAGCTTTTTCCATTTTAGGTAAAGTTGATCTGGGCTCATCTGCCCTTCAACCATCAAACATACAGCAAGGGGCAGTGCATCAACTTGAAAAATTATTTAATCTAAATAGTATTTCTTTCTTTCATGTAGAGTATAGTATTGTGGTGTTATCAAAAGGGATGACTGGAGATGAGAATTGCAGGTAGCAGGCTGCTGGTCACTTAGGCACACAGAAAGGTATTTGCCTCCTGTGGCTTCAGTCATGTATGAAATGGGTGATTAATCAAAGCTAGTCACCTGCCCTCGATGAGTTAGTGAAGAGAGATGGGTGGCCATCTCCCCATTCTCATGTATGGCTGCTCAGGCTGAGCATACCAGCTTGCACCTCTGCCAGGTAGGAAATGTCCACAGTCTCTTCAATGTCAGAAGTGATGTGAATGATGGGCAGGTGTGGTCCTGCCAGTGGGCTCCGACTGGTGTGACTGGCTGAGATAGACGCACCTTCATGTGTCTCAGTGAGAGAGAAGCCTGTTTTCAGATGCAATGGTCTGTGCTTTTAGCAGCAGGGAGCTCACTGTTTGTCACTGCAGGGGAGATGGGGCTGGGAGTATGGGTGATGGCCCTGCCGCTGGGGGGTTTTGTGCCAAAAGGAAAGGTCTCAAAGCTGTCTCCTAAATCATAAACTGAGATTGCAAGGCTGGCCATTAAAAAGGATAAAAAAGATTTGTTTCCATTTGTAAATGCAGGATCAGTCCAACAACAATCACTGAGAGATGGTAAATACTGAGCCTGAATACTGAGCCTTTATACCCAGTCACTGTGTTTATACTAAGACCTGTGTTTTGAACAATAAATAAATTGCTCTACATTCATTCATGCCAAGGGTTATTTGGCCAAAAGAAATATATCATAGATAACACTTTTTTACCCTGGAGGATGTACACTGGACAGTTCTTTTGTGTAGAAAAAATAGCTAGTGTATAATTTTCAAAATGTAGAGCATTTTAAGGATTGGCTTTCTCTTCATTGGCAGATACAGTCTTTTCACATTATATGAATTACATCAGGTTCTGCAGGAGACATTAAATCTATTAATGCTATGTTTTACAACATTTAACATTTAATATTTTTTCACAATGTAAAATATACTTGGTGTTGATGAAATCCTGCACAACATTTTGATACTGCAGGAAAATAAACAGGCAATTAATAAATTTTAGTTTTCATATATGTCTGTATTACATTTGTGATGGACGTGTCACTTAGAATTAGGCTGGACTTTGTGTTTAAATAACTTCAGCTCTGTCCTCATTTGAAAGCATTTTAAAATACTTCACTACCACTGAGCTCATTCAGGAGAGATCAATAATCTCAGTGCTTCATAATTATTCTAAGCACAATTAAGATAATAATTCTCAAGTCTGAGTAACTCTTTAGAGCATATTTTCATACTCTATGGAGTTATGAAATAATTCATAGATACCAACTTTCATGAAGTACTTGCTGACATTTTAATCCCAAGTTGTCATTATGAGCAGGACATGCCTCTTAGAGATAGTGCAACTGGGACACTGCCCAGGTGATTTATAACTTGGCCTGCACTCCTCCTGCTGGGATTTTCATCTGATGTTCATGAAAAAGACAGTGACAGACATAATTCTGTAGTAACCACCAAAGAAGCTGTATTCAGTGACATCTGCACCCCTGGTCCTCAGGTGACATGGGTTTACAATAAGGAAAAAGCCAGGGAAGTGGTGCTGGATGGGATGTTTTATATCATCAGGGAAACGCATTTTGTAAGGGCTTTGAAAGATGATTAATAGCATTAAGGGAAAAAAAAACTAAACAAACTACAACTTATACCTTTTATATGCTGATCATGGAATTTGCTGGCAAAGGCTTTTTGTTTTAATCAGTGCCTTTTGTTTCCTTCCACCCTGGCTGTGAGGTTCATGCCATGGTGCAGGAGCTGGGATGTCTGCTCATGGCTGTCTCACTGCATGGCTGGCAGGAGGTGCTGATACTAAGCTGAAACCAATTCTACCTTGTGTTTGGAAACCAGATGCATAGATATAATTATGCTAATCAGTGGAGTTATGCCCCTCCCACTTTTCCCATCACTTCCAGCTGCAGCACTTTTATTGTAATTGAAGTAGTATTATGCCACATTAATTTTAATTTTCCATAATACCCCCCACAGTTGGTGTCTGCCTTCATAACTCAGGGCCCCCTTTCACAGATGACTCATGTAATAGCTGATGTTATTAATTTATTACAATACTGCCTGCAATACCAATTTTTGCAGTGTTCCTACATTGCTCACAGACTTAAGATCTGGAGCCACTCATACTACTTACTGGTCGAGCAAAATAATTGGCAGCGTTAGTACAACTATTGTTTTGTAGGGCCCCAGGCCATGGCATTGCATGCTGGAGAGTCAGTGGAGCCTCTTGTCCCATCTAGGTGACTCGGAGCTTCCCAGCCAGCCTTCATCTGGTGCAGGAAGCATCTTTCTTCATGAGCAGTCCCACAGGCTGTGATGGAGTGACTCTGAGGTACGCCTCCATGCCACATGAGTCAGGACACCAGAATGTGCCCCTTAGGTGCTAATTAAAGTCCACTTCACACACAGGAATATACTTCCAATTAACATAGTATCCCTGGATTGCATTGTGGGATGTGGAGAAGAGCAGAAGCTATTGCAGAAAAAAAGTAATTAGAGTGTTTAAATGACAAGGCCCTCCTCGTGATTGATTAGTCTGTGTCGTATGAATTATCCCACAGTAACCCAGCTCCAGGTTCCAAACCAGATGCATATGTGAAGGTTTTTCCAGGACTTCCAAGAGCTGGGCTTCTCAACAGTCCGAAAATCTGAGAAATTTGGGCTTTTTCCGTTTCCTCACTCTTGAGCTTCCCACGTCACTGCATGGTAAGGAGCCAGAGCTATTAGCTGTTCAAAGACCTTGAGGAAGAATTTGTAAAGGACAACCAAATATGTCATGTAGAATGCTGCCCTGGGGAAAAAAAAAAAAATAAAAAAATCTATATATATATATTCACAAATCTCCCTCCATGGAAAATCTCAAAGTTTATTGTTTTGTTTTGGAATGACTTCTCATTTTGGAATTTCACTTGAAATGCAGATTCAAAAAGTCTGCCAATTCAAGTCTCAGTGGTGATTCAGCTCTTACTCATCCATAACATTCATAACTTTATGTCCTGTTTCTTAGTTCATAAAAGTTTATCATCAGTTTATCATTACCATTCCTCATCTTTCCTCAAATGCTATCCAAAATAGTCTTCAGGAAAGAAATAAGGAGCCTGTCTATCTGAAAGACTGTGCTGATGCCCAGAATGTTTATTTTTCTACTCAGAACTAACGTATTTCGCTTTTTATTCTACTTTAATGAAATACTGTAACAAGCCCCTCCATCATTTTGAACCTAAAAACTGTGAATGCTGTACCAAAGATCCGCTTCAACAAGAAAACCAGTGCCATCAAGTGGTCCTCCATGTGCCCAGGACATTTGCAAGCAATAATCACATCAGACTCCATTTTCTGCAGCTACCTACATTGGCTTCAGATGCACTTAAATTCCATCTCTCTTGTAGTGGTCTTCTAATGAGTATTTATATAAAGCTGTCATCACACTATGTACACAATCTGTGGTCCATGCCAGCAGAATGAGGGGTCTCAACACCAAAGAAAGTCTTGAATTTAGCCATAAAAGCAAACACAAAATGCAGTTTAAGATGTAGCGAACTAGCAAAAGGGTTTTGGCACTTACAGTTTATATTCTTTTTGCTAAATCATTTACTTTTACAAGTATTTAAACAAGCACGTGGTCACAGGCACACAACTTTTGAGTAGCTTCGTGTTTGATACTGTCATCCTGTGACAATGGCAAACACAGAAAATGCTGTTGCCTCCAACAGCAAACAAAATGCCTTTTGAGTAAGCTGCTACAGAAAGCTCTGCTTTTGTTTCCTCACAGGGATTCCAGCAGCCTTCCTCTTTCAGGTCTTCCCAAATCAGACTCGAAGAAGGCCCTGTTCCAATTCTGGACACAAGGCATAAAAAAGCAGCACCGGAATCTTGCCAAAAAGTATCTGGTTATGAAAAGAATCATGACCATCCTGGAATACAGAAGGCAGGACAACAAGGTCCATAGTCTTGGTTAAACACATTAAACTGAGGGATCATGACTGATAGGCTGAATGAGAACAGCCCATGAGCCCAAAACAACGTAAAAGCACGTTTCCCCTCCTCTGCAGCCCACATACCTGGATGGATCTTCATGTGTAGCAAGAAAAACAGAATTATCTTGCACTACTCTAACAGAATCTTCTCTTTTGGTTGTTTTGATACTACATTTGCTTTGCTTTACCTTGTGTGGTGATTTCTACCACTGAAGAAACTTTTACTTGGAATGCACAAATATATCATGGGAATTTATTGCGAAGGGAAGAGGTTGATAAAAATGTTAAGTGATAAAAGAAAGCTTTAGAAGAAGTTAACATCTGAGAATGAAGAACCTGTTACAAAACCGCAATGCATAGTATCTATTCCTGAAAACCTGCCTATTTGATCAGTCTGCTGAAAAACATGTGAAAATGTAAACGGAAGTAACTGTAAGCATCTCCAGACACAGAGTAACAGCAATAAGATACCTAAGAGTCTACTCTGAGGTAAGGCATTGTGTTTGGAAGAAGATGCCTGGTTTCATTCTGAGAAGGGATGCTGGGCTTACAGCCCATTTCATTATATTGTTATAAGCTGTTCTCTCCTTTTCATTGTTTACAGACAGGGTCTTCTACCACCAACGGTTTCATGGAAGGCTGTAGGAACTGCATTTGTTTTCAAGACTTGCTGCTAAGGGCCAGCAATAATGAGGGTTGATAGGAATAGCTGGATAAAATGGCCAAGAGGTAGAAACATAATAGATTTTATATAAAAATAGGATGGCACTTAAGAGCTCCAGCTCCCTCCAGGCAATGAGGGAAAGTGCAAAGTGATTATAGCTCTGTTATGGCAGAGGTCTTCCCTTCTCAGTACCCACAGGTGGCTATTCGGTGCTTTCACATACCTGCAGCACTGCGCAAATTACCATCCTTTGCTAGGAAATCCCTTTCATTTGCATTGAATTAGGTCATTGTCCAGTTGCTTTTCCCACAAGCACAGGAAAAATCATAGATGCCTAGAAAAAGAGAAAGGACGCTTCCTATTTCTAAGAGGAGCAGAGGCGGGCAAGTAAAACAGAGAAATGACACTAAGCACAAAACAATCCTGCTCTTCTACTTTTAACACATTTTCTTATTTGTACTGGTATGTGCTGCACAAAAGATAATCCCACTCAATATAAGTGTAACCACAGAACCAGTTGAAGACAACAAAATATATACAGCTGCATATTAAAAATGACAGGCACAGTGTAGCCCCACAGAGGTGGCTTCATACATTAATAAGGGAAGAAGAGTGGCTGCTTGCATCTCTCTGCTGCTGGCTTGCTGAAGCTGTGGGTGTTGACATGGTGTCAGAGGCAGGAGCATAGGGCTCCCAAATAGCACTTAGCTCCTAATCTTGCCGAATTGCTTTACAAACATGAAGCCAATCTCATGGCAGCATGGAGAAGTAGGTGCTATCTCCTCTGCCCAAAGTCAAATAAAATGTATGGCCACACGTGGAGTCACCACGGCAGGGCCAGAGAGAGAATAAAGAAATGTCTAATTTTTTGCCATATCACAGAATCATCTAGAATCACAGAATGGTTTTGGGTTGGAAGGGACCTTAAAGATCATCTAGTTCCAAACCCCTGCCATAGGCAGGGACACCTTCCACTAGACAAGGTTGCTCAAAGCCCTATTCAACCTGGCCTTGAACACTCCTGCTGTGGTTTTCTGCACTGTCTTACCTCCTGAGCAACACTGAGCAAGCCATGATCTATTAACTGTCTATTTATTAGATATACTAATTGCTGTCTATTGAAACCATCCCTAACTACTGGCTCCGTTTGTTTCCTCAAAAACTGAATAGCAAAATTTGCCCTGAACACCGTGAATGCCAGACAATGACTTAAACACAGCCACTTCAATCCAATACTGAGGAACATCTAGCATTTAAGGACTATTTTATTGCCAGTCAGTACTTGTTGCCTACTATGGCTTCCAGCAGACTTTCCATCTTGGACAGTAAAACATCATTCATATGACTCTCTGAAACTGGCAGTGGCACATGCTAGTCTAACAAATCAGAAAAAGGTATTTTCCAGCTGTTTTTGCCAAGCAGCAAAGCAAGTCCACCAGCAGCAAAATGGGTGCTTGTGTAACCAGCCTCAGTTAACTGGGGCTGGGTGTACATATTATTATTTTTAAATATTTAATTAATGTTTATAAGAACCTTCCACAGGTTCTTAATGCTCCATGTCGCACTTGAATTGCCCTTCATAGCTGAGAGTCTAAAAGAACAAGCCCCGTACTCATTTTGGAGCGGGGAGACTATAAAATGTAAAAACCCATGCAGCACCATTTCTTACACTTTTAATGTAGCTCCTGTTTTACAAGTGCCTCTCTCAAGCTGTTAAACACCAGCTGTTTTCTTACAGGCACCACAGGAGAAGGGGGACTTGAAAACACATTACTGGAAGATGAGATGACCTCAGGGGGCTTCTTCCATGCAGAAGAGGATGCCAGGGAGCAACTTACGGGAGGGAAAGGAGAGAATGAGGTATACTCACAGATACCACAGATAAAAGGGCTGCAAGAAATGTAACCTACTGACATTAAATCTTAATCTTCCTGATGGGTGTTTGCCTAGTAAGACACAATTTGTTGATTTTCAGTTCAGTTCAGAGTTAGTTAGGGTTTTTTTTTAATGCAAGCTGTAGGACTTTCTTTAATTAATGCATTCCCCAGCTCAGTAACTGCAGCTGAAGCAGAAAATATCTCCTGGAAAAGTCTTTCATTTTGATTTTGAAGCTATTTGTGAAGAAGGAATCTTTGGCAAATTGTCCAGGGGGTATTTTCCTTTCCAGCTAAGACAGTTTAAAACATTTATCAGGATGACAGAAGCTTGTGTCATCCTTTAGACTTGTTTTTCACACTGCATCCTCCTTCTTGTTTATTACTTGAATGGCATTTTCATAAACATTGCATTTGTCTTTGTGTATTCTCAGTCTGTGCTGCACAAACTACATGGCTGTCATAAATGACAGGACTGCAGCTGAAGACAGCAGCAATAACATCAGGCTGTGAAGGCAGAGTCCTATTTTTAAATCTTTGTTTTGTTGAGAGGGGAGGGGGTTTCCTGTGAATATAATGAAGTGGCGGTTGGCTGCATGCTGCAAATAATTTCTTATGCAAATTTTACTCAAGATTGTGCTTACAGTTCTGTTATAGCTCTGAATGGATAAAATAAAGTCAGCAATACAGGGGCAGTTCATTCGAAATAAAAAAGAAGTTATATGTCATCTTCATGACAAAAAGAATAAAATAACCCACAGGCATATAAAAATAATGAACCAACTGCAACGTGTGCAGCACAGCTCTAACCCATCTAAGCCAGAATCTATAGGAAGCTGTGGGAACCTCCCTGTAACCATCGGTGTGCACTGCACCAGGCCCATGGGTTTCTGAGCAGCAGCTACCAGGAGCCTCAACTCTATTCCTGCTCCCCAACTGCAGGTGAGCTAAATTTCTGCAGATTGCTATAGCAAAGCAGTGAGATGTTCATGTCTTCTAAGTCCTGCAACAAGCTTTCCAAGACCTTATTACACCACTCAAGAAACAGTGAGGAACAGTACTCTAAAATAAAGCTTAATTTCATCATTCAATCTTTCTGATTAATGCAATGAGGATTTAGTCATTCATTATTTACTGCAAAACTGGATTAAAATGTGCCCACCACTGAAATCACAACAAGGCTTTTATGCTAATCTCAGGAATAAACAGTCCAGTCATTTCTTTCAGGTCTGAAAATATATGTGCTGCAGTCAAAAAAATGATTATAAAAGCTAATTAGCTCAGTACAGTTAATTTATGTGTTCTGTGGCATCCTTAGAATTTAAATTCTGTAATTTTAAGTCATACATTAAATAAAATTAAGAAACAGATTTTAATTCTTAATCCCATTAAGCATGCGCTGTATTTTAAGCATGAGGGAGCCTGAAATTCACAGTAGGCATTTAATGAATAATCAGATCTGGAAGACATAATTTATCATAGCCACAGAAAAAGCTTGGTAAAAATCAAGTCTGTCAAGTTAATTAAATAAGTCTGAATATAGTGGATGGTGAGAAGATTTGCTGGCATTTATGGAGTTTAGGGGTTTTGTTGTTGGGTTTTTTTTCCTTTAAAATTTATTTTGTGATACAGAAAAAAAAAAGGCAAAGTCTACAGAATATAGTATTATGAAACTTGACAAAAACTGTATTTAAATATTTATTACCTACTGGAGGCACTTCATGCTTTTTATACAAAAAATACCTTCTGAGAAAACTCAGTCAATATTTAAGTGTATTTCATAAACATCTTAGCCTTACAACCCTTTAACCTGATGAGTCATTCCAGATCATGCCAGAACTTACTCATGAGGAAGAATGTAATTCTTGGATCCTTAGCTTCTGACCTCACAATGCATGATGCAAACTACTACCACGAGTGAGAAAACTAAGTGCAGTATCAGGATACTGGAACCTCCTGATGAAAGAGCCTGAGCTCTTGTGCTCCTTCATGGGTAGCTCCCGCTGCCTGCCTACTATCATCCCTATCCATGTGAAAAACTGCTCAAGTGGATCAAGCGCTTGCAAGACCCAAGCCATAGTGTGTTGCCTCCTAAAGGGTGCAGTCTGGCAGTGTGCGGAGTCCCCTCCAAATCAGCTATGTACCTCCTAACTTTCATTGATGGCTTTTTTAGAGGGTTGGCAGTGCCAGCAACTGCCTTCCAAAAACTGAAATCCTTACCTTAACAAAAAGATCACAAGACGGTTATGTGTCTGCTTCCCTCCCTCCAGACACACATGGATGCACCCATTCATACTATATATACATATACTTACAGGTATATGGGTGTATGCATACGTGGGTATATACACATTAAAGGTGAATTTATTTGGATTTGTTTTTTTTTTTTTTTAGGCTTCAGGATCCCTGCTGTTTCAAATACTTCCATGATGGCTGCCAACAGGAGGGGAAAGACAAGAGGGAAGAATCTCGTAAAATCCCGTGACTCAGGAAGCTCGGGTTCAAGATAAAACCTTGTTACTCATGAAGAACCTGTGAACATTGGAAGGGACTGAACCAATCCCACAGCACAGGTTAGCAATGCTTAACAGGTTTCCCACTTTGAACTTTTGTATTTTGAGGTATATTTTTGTTACTACAAAAAAGCAGCTAAATAAGAACCTTGGTCTTGGTATTTCTGTGACATTAAGAAACTGTCATCATTCCAGTATTATTGATATTTCAGAGTAATAATTGACTACCCACTGTTTCACCAAAAATAATATTTTGGTGTGACTGCAGGTAGAGGCGGGTTTTCCCCTGTTTGGTAGTTTCTTGCTATACAGCAAAAGGTATGTTTTGAGGGTTTGTCCCAAGTCAGTCTCCTGACACCAAATTGCCATGTTTCTAGTAGAACCATGTGGTCATAAAACCTTCCTGCAGCTATTGGCTTTGCAGTGGACCTTGTCCAGATCCTCCCTCCCATCATGGAGAATGTACCAGAAGATATATTGCAGCCTGGGATGCTCTATATTCTACGGATAAGTTTTCTGCTGGGATCAGAACTGACAGTGAACTCTAATTCCTCTTTATGCTCTTTCCTTGTAATATCTTCCTGACTGCAGACTCTTCCCAGTTTCAGAGGAGAGACTACGATGCAGGGTTGATGAGTGGTACTTTCTCACTCACAAACACACTCCCAAGGCAGAGCGTTTACTCCTATTCTTCCAGCAAGTAACAACTAGGAGCTGCATTAGTAAATAAAGCAAGCGCTGAGCCTGGAATGGGAGGTTAAACATCCTGCTGGAAAGTCAGCAGTTTTAGTCATGGTGTAAAATATCCCATGACGGCATTCCTTTCTGAAACCTGATCCCGGAGAGAACAGCTTACAGAGCTGAAGAGATGCCAGGCAATGATCTATGGCCCTGGCCTTCCTGAAATGTATTCCTCCCCAGCATCTGTAAGCTCTCAAGTCATCCATGTAGTCCTCACGTATATGTAACACATCCTTGAGCCATGACTTTTTCTCCTGTGGTTCAAAGCTGTGTTTTCATGTGCCTCTGAGCACTTTAACTAGGCACAACGTTGGGATACAGATCCAAACAAAATAATATCAGCTTTCCTGGTTTTAGAGCATAGTTTATGCCCTGCTTGGCTGAATTAATAGAAACATTTGGGAATCACCCCCAACAAACTTCTTGTAAGCTGGAAGTCTGAATGTTACAGCTAAATCCAGGCAATCACGTGAGTATGAGCGTAATCAGGACCATACATCTGAAGCGTGTCTTCAGCAGTTTCCGGGAAGTTTGGATCTGTCATAAGAATTGCAAAAGTTTTAAAACTCTTTCTGTTCAAACCTGTTATTAAGTACAGCAAAATTGTTTCCAGCTAAGAATATCTATAAACCTTAATGATTTCGGGGCTTTTCTTCCAGATTTTGGAACTGGGGTAGGGGAAAGAGGGAGAGAGAGGACTTCTCTTGGAAACTTGGGCATTCAGTCTTTAACCACAATTGATCTGATTCCCAAATAAATTGTAGCCTAAATCATAAATCAACTAAAGCAACTGAAGTAATTTTCATAAGAGATTCCAGTGCTGAAATGTTCAGTCTGTGTAGAGTTTGGGATGGATGTACCATGTTCAGGACTTTCAGCCAACCCCTGAAATTAATGTGCACTTTTTCCATCTGAGCTGTTATGCCACAAATTCAATCTCACCCTTGAAATCACAAGTTGCACAGAAAGCAAAACAGCACTCAGAAACACAAGGCAGCTCTTCTGCATAGGATCTGTCTGGCTGCATATTGGAAAGGCATGCTGTCTTCAGGTGACTTATTTCCTGGATAAAGTTGGACAAAAATGTAATTACTTTTGTAACTTTATCAAATGTTTTAAAAGCATCTCTGAGGGTAGTACTGCTTATAACAACATCCTGAAATGCCAGCTGAAGGCACTACTGCTGGCAAGGAGTATGTGTAGTTCATGATTCCTTCTTGTACAATCTGGCTACCAAACCCAATACTGAACCTGCTGTGGTTTCCCACAGTTGTTGATCCCAGGTCTAGACACAAGGTACACCTTTAATTACTGATACAATTATTTCCACCAATGTATGGGGTATGTTGTAGAATCCCATAAACTACATAATTGCCTGCAAGTAGCATTTATGTCATTATCCATGTATCATAGTCACAAAACCACATGCTCTTTACTGAGGAAGTCTTTACTGTCATTTCTGTACACTTCTCTCCAGAAACTCTCCTGGAAATAACCTTCAAGATTTAAAGAGTTACAGCTTTTATTTGCTGGCTTCTTCTTGAGTGCACATGGAATCAGCAACTGCCTTGTCTGAGAACAAGGCCAGCCCTTAAAACCAGCATATTTCCCATCCACATTAATTCGGATTCCTATCAGGCATTGGGGTGGTTTGTCAGAGATAGGATCATTCTGGATTGCAATCATAATTCAGGGAGTTTTCAGCACGTGATGATAATTGATTTTTTTTTTCCTCCTAAAACAGGCGGTGAGAAGTTACTTTGCACTCAAGGTTGCCCTACAGTTTGGTAAATATGGTGCTCTGAAAAAAAGAGGAAAAGAACAGCTAAAGCTGATTAAAGCTACAGCAGTGTTCTACTGAAGAGCACATTTTCAGTCTGGTCGGCATGTTGGCTCCCCATGACACATAACATATACTACTTGGTATTTACATTAGGATGTTCCCTTTCTTTTTCTGAGATTACTGAAAACTTGGTATGTCTACAGCATTATGAGTAGCCTTTGAAAGTTATTTACAGGTAACAGGAAGGGATCTGGTGGCCTCTTATATTTGTCTTGAGTCTTCCAATTAAAATATTCAGGCAGTGTGAAAACTTCATCTGTATCTGCTTAGTCAAAAGAAGCCCATGACCAAAACCTGTTCAGCAGTCAAGCCCAAGAAGTAGTGGGACAATGGAGATAGATATAAAAAATCATCAGAGGAATGGAACATATTGGAGAACTGAAACATGCATATATCAATTCTTGAGCAGCATAAAACATTTAGCTGCTTACTGATTTCATATAGTACTTGCAGAAGGGTCTATCTAGTAGCTGGAAGAATGAGTAACGGCTGATCTCATGATCACCTTAGAAAATAAATACTCTTATAGTTGGGTCTTTTTTTCTTCACATCACCTCCTGGGTTCCTCTTTTGTTAGAGACTTTTGCTGATAATGAAACGTTTACAATATGCTAGGTAAGTGGAAGGCAGTCAGATTACCAGGTATGATGGGATCACAGCTGAAGGCTGCCAAAGGACCATCTTCCTCCTGTGCATAAGGGAAGCACTGGAGTCACACTGTGAGGATGGGAGGCACAGCATTGCAGTCCCACACTAACAGCAGATGGATGGGCAAATCTCAGATATTTTTTGGCAATGGGGGATCAATAACTCTCACATTCAGAATGATGGGAAAAAAGAAAAACTCTGCCCTTCCTTCAGCAAGGAGACAGCACGGATAGCAGGGTCTTAGCCACATGTTCCGTATTTCTGTTCATGAGCACAAAAGGCCCTGCTTACTAAGCAACTTCCTCTTCGGGGAAAGAAACAAGGCAGACCCTCCTGCACAGAGCCTATTAGACCACATTCACTGTTTAGAGCCATCTGATACCCTGGGAGAAGAAGAAAGAATTCAAATATCTGAAACCATCAGAGTGAGGACTGTGCAAAAGAATAATTAAGTTATCAGGTGGTGGCACGTGCTATAATTGCTGGATTGTAGGGAAATAGCATTCAGCAGCTGTTACTTTACCAGCGTTACTAACTCCAGTTCCCTCACAGACATAAATGAAAAAGAAACTCCAGCTGTCTGCTGCCTACAAATCTGAGATCAGAAGCCATGGGCCTCAGAAAGGACTTTTGCCCTAAATGTCTGCATTTTATTACAGCTGTAGATATACACCATAAATAAAATGAATGAAAATATTAATTTGCTTGGTAACTAAAACAAATTTTCTACCCATTAATGTGCTCCTCAAAGTATGAATAAATGTGGACTGATGTCAAATGAGTCACAGATATAATAAAATAATGATGTTTATCTTTACATGTCAGCTGTTGTGCTATATGAAAGTCATTTCACATTACAGAGCTTGTAAAGTTAAATGAGATTGTGCCACAACAGTAATAAATTATTCTAGGCCTTTCTTTTCTGTGAATAAGGAAAAAAAAAGAGAACAAAACCCCATGATGTACAATTCTAATGTTAATCTTCATAAGAACATCTATTTTACTTGAGACAAAGTCTTAAACAACTGTTTTATTGCAAAGGTATTGGTAACCCACCTGGATCAGTGCCTTAATAACCCTACTAATCTCTGACCACAGAACAGCCCTAAACTGAACTGGCAGAGGTATGAGTCAATATTCTTTCACTGTGATAACGAGGACAAGACATTTTGGCAAACTGCCTTGGTTGCTGTCCGTTTACCAAGAGAAATGTATTTGCAGCAAGGTTGGGTCACCTAAAAGCAGGACTCTGCAGGTCTAGCTCCCAGTTCAAGGGCTAGATTCAGGCTCAGAGGAGTCTTGTGAGTCTTTCATCACCGCCTTGACTTGAATTAAGCTTTCCACTGCACGAAAACTGTGCACAGCTTTAACTCAACCATTACCTTTTGGGCAGCTCAGTTGCCTCTTGGTTGCAGCCCCCAGTCCCTGATCACTCCTATACAGGTGAGAGAATGAATACTTTAAAATGATTGGGCCAGACAGCCTCCTCCAAGAGATGGTGCTCTATTTTATTAATAACATGCTATGCAGCTTCATACTGTAATTGCTGCCTCTGAGCCAGCAGCAGTGAAGGAAGGCAATGCTGCTTTTCACTCAGGGCATGTTACTGCCTTTTCCTGGTAGCCTTTGCTTACTTTACACCTGCAGCAGTGGGCTCAACATAGAAAGAGCATTTCTTCTATGAAGACATTTGGTGGCCTTGAGTAGGAGGAAGGCTTTCCAGTCAGTGAGTTAATACTCTTTGAGGGTAAAGGGAAAGCAGAACAATGTCGTGACAGTGCTTTTGGATGGCAGGGCCAAAGACTTTTGCCACTAATTTGAATATATAGGCTGTGCATCTTGCAAAGTAGAGTCTTATGAAACTTTTCTTGATGTGCAGGATGGAAAAAAAGCAGAAACTTGGCTTCTTGGAAATCCCAAATAAACAGCAAGCCAAAAAGCATCAATAGGGCAACCTCCACAGAGGCAATTATTTGCATTGAGGAAGCTTTTGCTGGGGGTTTCCCTCTACTTCTGGTCAGAAGATGGTTTAAGTGAGGCAAAATTTAATGTACTGAATTCAGAATGAGTAATACAGGGAGTCTGCCTGCCCAGGGAAAGGCCATCAGAAACTCTTATATGACCATTCACTTTGAAGAGAGTTTGCATAAAGGCAACTCATATTTTGTTAGCTCAAGAAGATAATGCCACTGATAACACCATGGACAGGCTACCTACGGAGCTCTAAACACTGAGACAGAAATTCAGGGTATTTTTTCAAAGGTATCAGCTGTGAATTCCCAGCCTCAGGGTGAGTCATTTAGACCAGATGCAGAATTTCAAGGAATCATTTCTAGTCAAGTGACTAAAGAGTTGGAGGAGGCCCAGCAATGCATTCATAGGCATCCCATGGATCAGATGAAAGAAGCTTAAGGGGGTCCCTGGCCAGAAGGTATTTGTATATGATGTAGAGACAAAGGACAAAGGAGGTGGAGCTCCCCAAACTATTGGGGGGGGGGAAGCCTCATTCAGGAAAACAGGAGCTGCAGGGATGTCGGCACACAACGACTGGAGCAGCATGTGTGACGAGCTGTCCAGGCACCTGCTGCTCTCTGCGGAAATCAACAGCTGAAAAGGGATGCAATTTTGAGAAAATATGATCCACAAAAAGTACTTAGGAAGAAAACGTACTGCCAGAGTAACACCAGGAGCTACTAATGACTGACTGATGCAGACACCAAAAGAAATTAATCCCCCATCAAATTTGGAGTGTGTATGAGAATTAGGGGATTACAATGTGTAACCAGTACTTCTGTTGCTATCGTACTGACGTCTTCATCTAGGAGCCCTGGAGGGGCTCTAGGCTAGTGAAGCAGAACTGAGCCCCTCTGCAGAAAGGTGGCAGGAAGAGATGTGGCTTCAGGTAGTTCTCCAGGCTTCAGGTGTTTCTAGAATGAGTATGGAGTGACAAAGATTAATTGCTCCCCGTGATAGCTCTAAACTAGGTCATTGTGCAATAGTACACCTAAGTGAACCTGCTGGAGTATTTGAAACTACAGCTGTGCCATCAGGTTTTCTTCTTGTCAGGATGCTGCCTCATGTGGCATCAAAACTTGATCTCTAAGTAAGAACAAAAAATGTGATTGATGTTACCAGGCCCAAAGGA